ACTAAATTCTAGGAACTGAGTGTGCCACAGTTACCAAAATAATCACTGCTCTTTCTTCTTTGGACTCTTGCCTTCCAAGGTACTTCTGACATTATGTCAAATATAATACACTGTACTTAGACTCCACATTACCTAGATAACATGGTTAAATGTATAGGCATTTAATTCAACCTTTGTTCATTCTGATTCTTCAGTTTTCAATACAGTCATGTGCCATACAATGACATTTCGATGAAGGATGAACCACATGTACAATGGGAGTCTTACAAGATTGTAAGACTATATTCTTTACCTCTTGTAAGTTTAGATATATTATGTACACAAATACTTAGCCATTGGATTACACATGCCTAGAGTATATGTGCTATATCCTAGGTGAGTAGTGGGCTATCCATCGGGGTTTGTGTAAGTGCAATGTTTGTACACTGACAAAATCACCTGATGCATTTCTCAGACTATATCCTTGTCACTAAGTAGCACATGACTGTGTACTTTGTCACATTGTTCTTTTTCTGGCTAAGCCTATAGGAAGCACATCTTGACTACAGTACATAATACCTACATAGTACCAAAAACATTTTCAAAAGTCTGTAGTTTATTGACAAAGTAGACTTGTAAATGGTATAGACCTAGAAGTATATAATAATAAAGGAATTATCGAGAGGTCCAATGGGACTATGTGTGAATAGCCCTTCAATTATTTCTTTTAAATATATTTGTTAAGATATAATTTTAATATCATTAAACCCATCCATTTAAAGTATACAATTCAGCAGTTTTCAGTTTATTCACAAATACCTATCACCCTCGCTACATTCAGTTTTAGAGTAATAACCTCAAAAACAAAACTCATACACTTTAGCTGTCACCTCTCCCAATCCACTTCAAAACAGTCAAAGGAATTACTTTTTGTCAATATATTTCCCTATCTTTGACTTTCATATGAATAGAATCATCACAATACATAGACTTTTGTGACTACTTTGTCCACTAAGCATGTTATTGAGGCTCATCTGTATATAGTACATATCAGGATCTCATTCCTTTTTATGCCAAATAATATTCCATTGTGTAGATACACCATATTTCATGTATTCATTCTTTTGTTGCTGGACATTTGGATTGTTTCCACTTTAGGGCTATTATGACCAAGGCCGCTATTAATATTCATGTATGAGTCTTTCTGCAAACACGTTTTCATTTATCTTTGGTATATACCTTGCAGTAGAATTGCTGGGTAATTTGGTAACTAATTGTGTCAGGAACTGTCAGACTTTCCCAAAGTTCTTTCACCATTTTATATTCCCACCAGCAGTGTATGAGAGATCAGATTTCTCCAGATTGTCACCAATACTTGTCACTACGTATTATCTAACTTTCTGATTACAGCCACCATGGTGGTATGAAGTGGCACCTCACTGAGGTTTTGATTTGCATTTACCTGATGACTAGTGATGCCACTTATCTTTTTCAAGTGTTCATTATTAGCCATTTGCATGTCTTTCTTGGAGAAACGTTTATTTAGATCACACATTTTTTAATTGGGTTGTCCTTTTATTACTCAGTTACAAAGTTCTTCACATGTTCTAGATGCAGTCCCTTATCGGCTATATGATTTGCAAACATTTTCTCCTACTCGGTTGGTTGTCTTTTCAGTTTCTTGTCAGTGTCCCTAGAAGCACAAATGCTTTTTATTTTGATGAACTTCAGTTTATCTGTTTTTCTCTTTGGTTGCTCATGCCTTTGTTGTTATATGCAAGAATCATTTGCCAAATCCAAGGTTCTGAAGATTTACTCCTATGTCTTCTTCTAAGACTTTTACAGTTTTACTTCTTTTTAAAGGTCTTCGATCTACTTTGAATTCATTTTGTATATGAAGTGAAGTAAAAGCCCAACTTTATTCTTTTACAAGTGACCATCCACCACATGTTAAAAACTATTCCTTCCACATTGGTCTTGGCACCCCAGCTAAAAGTCAGCTGATCATAGGTATATGGGTTTATTTTCAGACTCGGAATTCCATTAATCTATTATGTCTGTCCTTGTCCCAGTACCACCCTGTACTGATTACTGTTGTTTTGTAGTTAAGTTTTGAAATAAAATGTATTTGTTTATTCCTACGTTGTTCTTGTTTAAGATTTCTTTGGCTATTTCTGGTCTCTTGAAATTTCATATGAATTTTAGAATTACCTTGTTGACTTCTATGAAGAAATCATCCCAGATTTTTGATTGGTAGTATGTTAATTTAAATGTATACATCAGTTTGGAGAGTATCATCACATTAACAATGTTACGTGTTGTGATCAATGAACATGGTATGTTTTTCTAGTTCTTTAATCGTATTTTATAGTTTTCAGAGTATAAGGAACTTCCTGGTGGCTATGGTGGCTGACATTAAGAGGGCTGCTTGGTTAAAGAAGTGGGCACACAGACCACAGAGAGATGACTGGGGCCCTTCATGAAATTTTTATGGGTGAATAAATATATAATTATTCCTTCTCTTAGCTCAGGAGTCAGAAGATGGGCATATGCTCAGAGCTGCTGGCAGCATTTCTCTTTCCATTTGCAAAGTGCCTGAGAATGAGGCCAAAGCTGTGGAAAGCAGGGACAAGGGATGCAGAGACTGAGCCTGGACACCATTGTTTTTAGATCTTAGAAACAGCCATGACTGAAGTCAAAACAATTCATGAGTTTTTAATTTGTGCATATATGCGCCTTTTTGCTTAAGCTAGGCATAAATAGGTTTGCTACAGCTAAAAGAATCATGACTATTTCAAATGTCTACTTTGCTTGAGATAATAAAATAATAAAAATCATGTCCATAATTGGCTTTTCTGAAAGGAATTCCCTCTTAAATCCTGTTTTTAATAATCAACCACTTGGATTCTCCCCTAGACATTATTCATAAACACACAAAAAAATGTAAGAGCCCCCGTATGGTTATTCTATAGATGCTGATTGAAATGGATCACAACAAGTTATATTGGATTAATGAATAGTCTTCATTAGTTAAAGCAAGTCAAACAGGAGTGAGTCAGATCATCAACGGCAGGATCCAAGCGGGCAGCATGTGCCACTGAAGACAGGCAGGTCTGCCTCCACCCTTACCAGGACCCACACAAAGTAAGTCTTCTTGGAAACACCGTTCTGTGTCAAACATTATCTTCTCAATATCAAAGACAAAAGAACTGTTGTTTTGTAGTAAGCAACAATAAGACAAAATCAGCACAGTAACTTTCCTATTGATAATATATTTTCCCACCATAGCCTCAACAAATATTTATTGTAGAAGAAAGACAAAAGGATAAGATACAAATTAAGAAATTACCAAAGTATACACAAGAAAATTAATACCAAAAACAGTCAACCCCATCCCACTCCCCAAAATAAAATCCTTTCACTTTTTACGAGTATAGCTCATCAGAGACAACTGCTCCCTGCATCGTATCTTTCTATTCCCGCATCCTTACCATGGAACATTCTCATACAGGTGATGTCACCAGCTTTCTGCTTCTTGCCAGTATTTCCCATAGGTCAGCAGTTCCCAACCTTTTTGGTACCAGGGACCAGTT